TTATGTCTATACAATATCTAGAATGGAGGAATATATGATTCCTTATCTAATGGACGCGTTACTAGTAAGATCATAGTCGACAACAACTTTTGAAAGCTACGATTGCTGATCAGGTTCCGAAGTTATATGTAAAATAGTTATTAGACTTATCCAAGTGGGATATTGTTGGATTATGTGTCTAAGCCCATAACTATTTTGGTATGTACTTGACCCGATTGTGAGCATGGTCCTTTTGGGTTGCCTTCACCATAGTAACTGATAGGATGAATTAAGGAGAAAGAGGATTAATTATGATTTATTAATATATTATATGAATAATATATTAAAAGAGGAATCATATAGTTTAATTAATATTAGTCAAGAATTAATAAGAACTAATTTTCTGGCTAAAAGAAATTAATTAAACTTGGGGGACTGATGTTGTTATTATAAGATAGTTGCATAAATGGGCTAATGGACTCCATAGAAGTTGGAGTGGACGAAATCTATGGGGAAACCCATAAGAATTCGTCCAAGGCCTCTAAGGAGGGATTCCATGGGCTGCTTAGGGCCTAAGCAGTCAAATTAGGGTTTCCTAGTTGAAAACCCTAATAGCCTACCTATATAATGAACCCCTAAGGCCCCAAAAACGTGGTGAAGTAATCTCTAAGGGTTCTTGGACGTTTTTGGTGCTCCTCCTCCTTCTCCTAGGTCATCTTGTTGCTCATGGTGTTTGTGACTCCATTAGAGGTGCAACATTTGAGGCGCTAAGCTTTCAAAGGTCAAGATAAAGAGGAATTGAGATTGTTATTACTACATAACAATCAAGGTAATATCTAAACGCTTTTATCATGATAATATCGATTATTATATGCTAGATCTAGGGTTTATGAGCTTTGGATGATTATTGCATGTTCATTAGACAAACTAGATCCAAAGCTTTAGGGTTTGCATGTATACCATAGGATTGATGTATTGCTCATAACCCATCACCTTTATGGTACGAAGTGCACAGTCTTCACGGATCTTAAGAGCCTCCAGCACATCTTCGATCAAACATAACTTAACATGAGGCAACGACGATGGGTAGAACTACTCAATGATTTCCTTGATGTATCTTAGACCCTCACATCAACTCTAGCTAAGGTCAACCCCTATCACCCCCCCTTCCCCCTCATCGGCCGATCCCCTCCTCATTCCCTCTCCACTTTTCATTTTCCAAACTCAAACTCTTATCTTATTCTCTCTCAAAAACTCAAGAAACTCTCTCATTTCCTTCTTCAAAAATCGTGGGTTACTAGTGTGTTTCAAGAAGTTTTCTTCAAAGCTTCATCCCTTGGTAAGTTTATGACAAACTCTTTTGATTTTTTCCAAGTTTATGTTAAAGATCTTTCACTTACTCTCTCATTTTCGTGAATATGCTTCTTAGAACCATCTCAACTTCGAAAATCTCCTCAAGGAAACAATCTAGGCCGAAAACCTTCTCCATCTTCCTCTTCAAAACCAAAAAAGCCCCAAGGTGAGCTTCATACCCCTATTTTTCGAGTTTTCTTTCTTTTGGGGGAGGATACAAGTCAAGGTCTTGTGTAAAATATTTGTATACTTGCTTGCATGTGTATGTTTTATGTGTTATGTGTGTTGAAATGTTGTGATCTCATGCTAAAGGTCCATAAACTCGAGATTTTGTGCAAGTCTCAAGTTGTTGGAAAATCAAAGTTATCTTGTGTAGCTTATATGATTTGTTGTTATGCTTAAAAAGGTTATCTTTAATGTGTGATAAAATCATCATAAAGTCAAAGAAAATGTTAACTCAAATTTTTGTCATGAAAACTTGAAAAATGGAAAATATGGAAAGTTACCCTAAAAATGGTAACATTTTGGATATATAAAATTATTTTTACTAAAACTTGTAAAAATGGGTCGTTAATGGAAATTATGGTAAACATGGGCCATTTATAAACATTTTAGTAAAAATGGGCCTCTTATGACAATTTGGGTAAAATTGGGCCTTATGCGACAATTTTAGTAAAATTGGGCATTTATGGACACATTTAGTAAAATTGGGCCTTATGCGACAATTTTAGTAGAATTGGGCCTTTATTGACAATTTTAGTAAAATTTGGCATTTATTGACAATTTTAGTAAAATTGGGCCTTTATTGACAATTTTAGTAAAATTGGGTTATTTTGGACAACAATGGTAAAAATGGGCTATTTTTGACACTAATGGTAAAAATGGGCTATTTTTGACACTTATGGTAATAATGGCTATTTTTGACACTTATAATTTGTAGTCGAAAATATACACTCGTAACATTATTTCTAACGTTAAATAATGGAATTCAATATTCGCGTAAATTCCGTTAAGACTCTTGCGAGACACTCCTTCACTCGTACCTACCTAGTGTACATCGTAAGTCCTGTAGTTATAAGCAGAGTCTCCTGGAGGGAGAGCGGGATATTGTGTATACATCTATACGGGGTGACACCCCCATACCTGAGCTGCTCGCTACAGCTAGACAGGCCAGTCTAGGGTGACAATTATCTTTAGAAATCGACGCCTAAAGAACGTCAAGACAGACGCTCTCGTCATATTAGTATGGTTGTAACGACTCACATAGAGAATAACAACTATCTTTTAAAATTTACGCATAACATATACTCTAGTCATTTTAGAAGGTACAAAACTATGTGTCGTTTATTTCACAACGAATTTCTCCACTCGGGTCTTAGGGTTTTAAGACCACAACTTTCGTATAACAAAAAATATAGGATTTTCTGGGAATCATTTTCTATATATTTTTCAAACAAGATAAACAAGGAATACATATGCAATTATACATGATTTGAAACGAGACTTACAAACTATTTTTACAAGAAAATATTAGATTTTCTAGAAGTTTACAAACTATTTTTACAAGAAAATATTGGATTTTCTGGAAGTTTACAAACTATTACAAAGTTTTCTTACAAACATGCTTATGAACTCACCAACATTCTATGTTGACGCTTTTCAAAACGACTTGTATTCTCAGGAACTCAATAAGCAGGTGGGAAGCTAAGGAAATTTGGATATTTGTTGTATTTTTGAATTATCATACATTATGTTATTTTGGATGTAATTCGTAAACAAACACAAAGATGTAAGCAATGCATGTTGATATCGTTAATGTATGATGATGATGATTGCTATGTTTCATTCATATTCAATTGTTATGATATTACAAGATGAAGTCACCCGCCCCCGGACGTTTCCGCCGTCCCGATTCGGAGGTGTGACACCATCAAACCACCACCATATGCTACAATAAGTTTACAAATAAAATATATTATTTTTTATTATCTAAATCTATGTGTAATTGTATTAATTTAATGATTTTAGCTTAATAAACTTGTTATTTGTTCACATAATTTTTTGGTTTCATATTTTTAATTCTTCTGTTGTGGAGACTCTGCAATAAGTTTACAAATAAAATATATTCTTTTTTATTTTCTAAATCTTTGTATGATTGTGTTAATTTAACGATTTTAGCTAAATAAACTTGTTATTTGTTCGTATAATTTTTTTGTTTCATATTTTTAAAAACTTTACTAATAATTAATTAATAATGTTTATCTAATAACATTATACAAAATTAATTTAAAAAAAATCAAATGTATTACAAAATGTATGAAAATATTTTACTAACTTACTTTTTTTTTCATAAAATGGACAATTAATTTGTGATAAATATTAAAATAAGGAGGTTGTATGATTAAATTTCAATGTTGCTATATTAGAATTATTGAAATGTATTTTAGATTGTAAAAATCATTTTATTTAGGTTTCAATTTATTTCACGGCCTGCAGATTTTAAAAAACAAATAGTATTCTTCTTACAAACTACAGACGTTTAATCAACCTTTTATACCCCCGAGGTTAGGGATGAGCATCGGAACAGGGTATCCGTTTTTGGAACCGGAACCGCCTCGGAACTGCCGGTTCTGGAACTGGAACTGCCTCAAGCCGGTTCCGGTTCCTAAAGTTATGGAACCGCCTT